TTAATAAATCTGTGAATGCCCACCTCACGCTAGTTAAAAGCTGACTGAAGCTTAGATTAGGGACACAAAATCCATGCATCCACTGTGGGTTTCATTTAGTCAATAACAATTATATGCTACGAAGTATGGGCAGTTTATGCACAGACATATAATAAATCTAAAACTTTCACAGCTCCCAAGGGCCATGGACATAGACTCGGAGGTAAATTCTTGATACACTGGGAACCCTTGCTGATGTATTTAGTATTGGGCTGAGAAAGATGACAGCAGGGTGACACGATGTGGGTACAGAAGGCCCCTGCACCGTAGTCAGGGCATTCCCTTGCTGTCATCACCTCTCTCAGCCTCACGTTTGCCTCAGTGACTGCCAAAACTAAAGACGGAGAGTGAGTGTATTTAAAGACTTCCATAGCCAGGGAGTCTCTGGGAAATTCTCTCTTCACTGAAAGAGCCTCCTACAGCCTCTGTGTTGTGTGCAAGTCAGGGTGCATGGGACAGAGGAAGGAGCCAGCGCAGAGGCAGTGGAGCTGTCTGTACCACTGCACCAAGCAGCAGAGCCACACAGCCAGCGCAACACGTTGCAGCCAAGCAGCCGATGCGGCACTTCCACTCCGGGCCCACACACAGCTTTTGCTCGTGGCCAGCTTGTACTAGTGAACAGGAGGTCCAGCACAACAACGCGTGGGATGGTTGGTGGGCAGAGCACCGTGGGAGGATGGCCATGGGTGAGTCGGCTGGCCTGTGGGACTTACAATGCCTCCTCTGATAGGCAGGGAGTGGAACTGAAGGGAACTGAGGCAGGCTGGGGCTGTGGGGCCTGAAGCCCAGGCTGCAGAGGTGAGGATGGGATCTCAAGCCTGCTGCTGGATTTCCCCACTGAATTCCAAGTACAAGGCACTGCAAGGTATCTAATACAATTCAGATGTATTAGTTCCTGATTTGTGATGGCAAATTGAATTTTTCCTGGCCAAAACCCCAAACACTCAAATGATAATAAAATATGTGTGGAGAGTTTGCACTCTCAGTAGTTATTATTTATAGACTGAACGCACAGATGACAAATGCTCTTCTCTGCTCCCAGAGCACACTGTGCTTCTCCCTGTGCACAGTCACAGGGTTCTTCCTCCATGCAGCACGCAAAGGGGTGGTCTGGCACTGGAGAAAGATGGTTGCTAAACTCCCAGGATTGCCCTGAGTGGCACAGCTCATCCTTTCCTTTGTCCAGGACAACTGATCTGGCATGTATGAAGCATGTATGAAGCCTGGCATGTATGAAGCCCAGGAATGCCACTTGGCCAATGGTGATGGCCAAGGGTGGTCAGATATAAACTTCCACTGATCACAGCATGATTCTCCTCCTGTGTGGTCAATAGGGTTGCAGCCTGGAGCATAGGGCAAGGAAACAGAAACCTAATCCCTTGAAAGTGGCTTTGGGGGGATGCAGAATAAACTGTCCCACAGTGCTAATGGACACCTGTTTCTGCTATCAAAGAACTGCATTACCCACTGATACCTAATACCTACAGTGCTGACCTTTCCAAATAACGTCCTTTAAAAGTTGCCATGTCATCTTCATCTGACCACCCCTGTGCAGGCTGGAGTAATGTTGGGCAAGCCAGGGAGTAAACGAGTAACTACTGCAGCTGTGCAATCTGAACTGAAGGGATTCAAACCATTCAACTGATAAGCATCCAGGGCTTGGTCAAGCTGCTATTTAGCTCTGGCTGCGCTGCATAGCCAGGACAACACAGGCTGCAGTGAGGGACATCAGCTGGACAGTGAGGAGCCTCAGGAGTCCTCAGGTATGCCCAAAGTTACAGCTGTGTTGAGCCACCTCAGCAGCCCCTTGAAACCAAGGGACCTCATAGACTCCCACCCGGCTTGACGACTCCTTCCAGTCTCCCTTACCCACAGAAAACAGTAGCTTACTGCCTGTAAGGTGATAGAGGATGATTTGGATTCATTTCCTTACTTCCCTACCACTTCACTAGCCCGGGGCTGCCTTGCCTGGGGATGGGACACAACTCACGCCTGTGCCTTCATGCTCATTGTGGAGCTACACACTCAAGGGCTCAGAGCATCCCCACCTGCAGAGGAGCTGGTGGGACTGTGCTAGGGGCACCAGCTCAAATGTCTGCACCTGTCAGTGCCCCAGCAGTTGTGATACCAGTGAGCCAATGGTGTTCACTGCCACTAGGCATGGCCATGCCCCCACTGCCCAGGACACTTGCCTGCATGTGGAGCCTCCCGCACTGACGGGCCCCCCCTTGGATGCAGGCCCCTCACATCATCCATATGCTCAGGGGCAAACCCTCCAGACCAGTTAGAGCCAGTGGTCAGTGGCCAGAGGCCATACCAGAGAGCAACACAGAGCTTGCCATCGCCTCCTCAGCACACAGAGGTGAGGACCGGTTGGGTCTCCTCACAAGCTGGAGAAGCCATGTTTGCTCCTCTTCCCAGGCCTCCCCTCACCTATACCACCTCTGAGAGGTCTCCCACATCCTGGATTTTCTCCTCAGTGCTGTCCAATTCCTTGTCTGGTACTGCAGCAGAAAGCACCATTACTCTAGCACTGAAGCCTCTGCAATTTCACTAGCCCCAGTCTTCTCTCCAGTCTTCCAGCAGCCCCTATCTATGTCTTGCTCTTGCCTTCTGCTGGGTAGCTCTGTCAGCCTTCCATGCTGTGCTGTGCCCTGTCATGCCATGCCATGCTGCACTGTGCCATTCCTTGCTAGGCTGTGCTGTGCCCTGCCACATGACACTATGCCCTGCCCTGCCACATTGTGCCCCACTACACTGTGATATGACCGGCTGTGCCGTGCCATGCCATGCCCATCACCACCACACTGCTCCCCACCGCACTGTGTCATACCGTGCTGTGCCCTGCTGTAACATACCGTGCCATATCATATCATGCCCTGCCCCGCCATTCCATGCCATGCCATGCTGCGCTGTGCTATGCCATGCCATGCCCTCTCCCACCCTGTTGTGCCCGGCTATGCCATGCTGTACCATGTATGTCAAGCCATGCTGTGCTGTGCTGGGGCCCTATGGCCCCAGCAGCTCTGCATGCCTCTGCTTCTCCAGTTTTTCCCCAGGAGCAGAGTGCTAAAGGGCAGGGAAGGTCCCACAAGTAAAACCTATTATGCCCAACATCCTGCAGCTCCACACACCACCTGTTTGGTCAGACTGAAGACAAGGAGCACCTGAACATAGGCATTCACAGTTAACCACTGCCTGTGGACTGCAATGCAGCGCAGCTGGCCCTGCAGAAAGCACTGTGCCTAAGCCTGAGGGAGCAACAGCCTAGACTATGATGAGGATGGAGTTACCTGCAGGATAGCCAGCATTCCACAAATTAATAAAGATTATTCTCAGCAATACTTCAAAGTATCACTGCCTCCATTCAGACTTCTCTGGCAGGTGAGCAAGAGCCCATGGTTAGACATAGGTCTGCAGCACAATGGGGCAGAAGGGAGGCTGTCCTGGGGTGTCTGTCCAGATTACCAAACATTCGGGTGCCATAATGCAGTAGCAACTCTCTTCCATGCGTGCCTGGCAAGAACCCCACCCCTAGACACAACACCTGGGGACCGAGCAGAGCCCTACCAGGGCCAGCTCTTGCCAGAGGCCCAGACAAAGCCCCTGGAGCGGCCTTGGTCAGATGAACTTTGCAAGGATAAACTTGATGATCGATGACAATCCACATGAGCAGAGACCATCAGAGCTGCACTGAAAGGATCAGACTGGTGGGCAACCACTTTGCATCTGCAGCTTCGTGGGTCAAGGCTTTGGCCAGCACCACCTACGCCTGTGCCAAACGGCTCCATGTCCGCACTGCGGAGCAGTGAACCCCCAGAAGGATGGGACAGGTTTCTCCTACGTGCCTTTCAGGACCCTTCTGCAGCACAGCCCAGGGATGCACCAGAACTGTCTGCAGGACAGGAATGTGACTGAGGGCCCCCTCAGTTTGTCACGGCTGTGTGCAGCACCACGGGCAGGGACTGTGTGGGATGCCCCTGCACACTCCCATGAAGTGTCCCACTGTGGGCACAGCAAGAGGACAGCCACTTCTGGCTGGCCCAGCCTGAGGCTGGCCCTTCAGGTGAGCACTCCAGGCTCCGCGAGACCAGCACCATCCTTTTGCACAGCGCCCAAGCCGCTCTCCACACACATTGATGCCATCGCAGCAGGACAGAGCACGCAGCCAGCTCCTGCGAGACACCGGGACAGCGTTGTGCTGCCGCGGGACTTGCAGCTTCAGCGCGCAGACCCGCAGGGCAGGAGCCGCGGGCTTGTGAACCAGGGCCCGGGTGCGTGGGAAGTGCCACAGCGGACAGTGCAAGCGCGGGGGTGGCGTGGGGGCATCGTGTAACAGGAGGCCCGTGAACACACTGCTTGAGGGAAGGCTGCGTGGGGGGAGTCGGCACTGGCGGTTACTGGGGGGTACGACATTGAGGGGGGGGCACTGGCGGTTACTGGGGGGTACGACATTGGGGGGGGGCACTGGCGGTTACTGGGGGGTACGACATTGAGGGGGGGGCACTGGCGGTTACTGGGGGGTACGACATTGGGGGGGGGCACTGGCGGTTACTGGGGGGTACGACATTGAGGGGGGGGCACTGGCGGTTACTGGGGGGTACGACATTGGGGGGGGGCACTGGCGGTTACTGGGGGGTACGACATTGGGGGGGGGGCACTGGCGGTTACTGGGGGGTACGACATTGAGGGGGGGGCACTGGCGGTTACTGGGGAACGGCACCGGGAGCAGCGCCGGAGGTGACGGGGTGCGGCACGAGATGGGGGGCGGCATTAGAGGCTCGGGGGGGGACGGCGGCGGCTTTTGGGGCCGCGGCTCGGGGAGCCCGGGCACGGCGCCGGCCGTTTCGGGGTTCGGCTGCGGGGCGGCGCCGGAGCCGCTGCGGTGCCGCTCGGGGGGCGGGGGCGGGCGGAGCGGGCCGGGGGAGGGCCGGGCTGCCGTTCCGCCCCCCCCCCCGCGCTGCGGCCGGGGCTCGGCCCCGCTCCGTCCCGCGGCGCAGGCAGCCGGGCCGCTGCCGGGGCCGCCGCCCGGGCCGGGGTCGCAGTCCGGGGCGCCCCTGCGCCGGCCCGCCGCCATGGCCCGCTTCTCGGCGTTTCTCAACCCCGTCCTGGTGCTCTTCAGCTGCGACCTCTGCCTTGTGCGAGCCAGTAAGTGCGGCCGGGCCGGGGTGGGACAGGACGGGCCGGGGACCGCGCGTCGCCACGCTCGCTGCCGCGGGGCCCGGCGAGCCGCCCCGCTCCCCGCGGGCCCGGGCTGCCGCCCGCGGCGGGAGCGCGGAGCCGGCCCTCCCCGGGCGAGGGACCGTGCCGGGCGCCGGGCGCCGGACCCCGCCGCGGGCCGGAGCCCCTCGCCGGACCCTCCTGCCAGCCTCGCCCAGTCCCCGGCACGGCCGCGGCCGCGACCCCGCGGGGCCTGGCCCTGCCTCCGCCCGGCGACCCGCTGCGGCCGCTCCCGGCCCCGAGCCGCCGGGGCCTCCGCGCCAGCCGCGCCTCCGGCAGTGCCGCGTCCCCTCCCCGAGGGACGGGGTGCGATCGTGTGGCCGCGCTGCCCTCCGTGGAGGGCACCAGCCTCTCCGGGGGGGCACCCGGGGTCGCCACCTGCGGCTTTGGCTCCTGAAGCCTCCCGCTTCTGGGCGAGGCAGGGGCAAACACGGGCTCTCCTTGCGCTCTCGAGGTGCCCCCCCCCCCGCTTCCCATCCCTGCCCCTCAGCAGTGAGCAGCGAGTCCTGAGAGAGTTTGTGCCCCTGGGCAGGGATGCTCCAGTGCTGTAGGCTGGGCTGTGAGATGGTCCTGGGCTGATCCTTCGTGCCTTCCTGCCTCTCTTTTGCTGGGCTCGTGTTTGCTAAGACGCCGCGGTCTGTCGGCACCCTTGGCTCCCTGAATGACCCTGTGTCAGCGGCAGCCTTCTGCTATCTAGTTGGCCCATGTCAGGTTACTGACATACTAAGTTGGATGGCAAGTATCAGACGTGCTGCGATGTTCTGCCATGTTGCCAGTCTCCTTGCAAAATATGTACTCTGGGGCCTGACGGATTCAGGAAGAAATGCAGTCAGGGTTTTTTAAAAGGGGCCACTTATTTTTAGATGTGCAGTCTGATGCTTACCTTCCTGCTGCAGGGATAAGTTGGGCAAACATCTGCGTGCCCTTGAGCAGCAGTCCCAAGGGCACGGGCCAAGGGGCAGGTGAGGTCCCCTCTCCAGAGTCACAGCAGGATGGGGGGGGTGCCAGTAGTGCTGTGCTCCATCCCTATGCAGTTCCACATCTGCCAACATAACTCTTGAAGGGCATCTCTCTGGTCCCCTCTCTACAAAACCAGGTTGCATGGCAGATCTAGTCCAATGCTCAGCTGCCCGCAGGTCAGCCCTCGCTGCTGCCCAGCCTCAGGCTGCAGTGCTGCTGACTCCAGCACACAGGACCAACTCTTCCCACCTCTTCAGTAGGCTGGAAAGGAGCTCACTGCCATACTGACAGGACAAAAGGGTGTGCCAGGCCTTAAGTAAGTGATTGCTCTTTCTGTGGTGGTGCCCATTTCTTAATATAGCTTTAATCAAAAGTGAAGCTGGATAACTTATAAATTATGCAGAATCATTAGCTATTAATGCATTGGGCAGGTCTTAACTGGGGAATGCTCTTCCCAGAGAGCCCAGCAGGGTGTTGGAGCATCTTGGCTTTATGTTTTTCATAGTTGGCTTCAGAGAGAACATTTTTTGGAGCCCTTGCACTCAATAATCTTTATGGCAACAGCTCTAGCATGAAACTGACCTCAGCTGCAGAGCCGGATGGAGAATGGCTTACTGTGGGGATCCTATGCAAAGCTTTCTATAGTGAGAGCTGTCCTTTGTGGGTCTTGTCAAACAACTTTCAGTGAGGGCTCATCTTGCATGTCCTTGGGATTAAGCATTGCTCCGTGTGTCTAGGGTGAACTTCTCCAGTTTCAACTTCTGAAAATTCTTGTCCTGTCTCTTCCTGCTGGGTGTGCAGATCCCACATACTCAGAAATTTATTTTCTGCAGTTTGCTGAACTGCAGACTGACCAAGGGACACTCATATTGCCAAAGAATAACTGCCGCCTGGACACATTCAGGTCTGACTGTCACACAGGTTCAGGCCTGCTTGCCTGGAGCCTGCACAAAGTATGCTTATGATGCATGAAGTCTGAATCACAGGCTAGCCATGTGTGCTGTGGCTCCACTGTGCCCCCATGTCTTCCTGCCTCCACTCTCTCCCTTTGGGACATTTGGGGATTGGTGCTGGGTGTAATAGCAGATCATGCTGGCTTTGAGTGTACTGTGTTTGCAGTTTGATACCAGGGTGGTACGCCTCTTGGGATGCCCTTCTGATACCAGTGAGTGAAGGTCCTACACAGGGCCTGTGCAAGCTCTGGCTAAGTACAGTTCAAGTAATGCTGTCAGCCCTGTGTGGATGCAGCAGCTTGGCTTGTGGCTTAGTGCAGTGCCCTTGTTTCTCAAATCATAGAGTGACTCAGCCCCAGGGCCATGTCTCAGCATCCCCAAACAAAAAACCTGGGCTGGGTCAGACTGGGCTCCCTGCAGAGCCTAGAAAATTCTTGTGCAGAGCAGGGAGCCTGCTACAAGCTCCATCCACAGACTTTTGAATTGCAGAGATGTCAGGCCCTGCCTTTAATTTCTTCACACTTAAAGACTGCGAAGTCCAACTGCCCCCTTTGGGCATGTTCAGACCTCTTTTCGTTCTGTTAGATGCAAAAAGCTACCTAATTTATTATTGTAGGTGTATCCTGTGAAGTACCAGGTCCTGTTCTTGTCCTGAGGCCAGCCGGCAGGGTCTGGTCACACCCATACCACTCAGCTCATGAGTTCCAAAGAGGGGAGCACATCAGTGCTACCTACGAGGAATGGTTCATGGCTCGTGCTAACTTCTGAGCCATGGCCGAGAGTGGTTTGGGCACATGCTGGCTGGTTCAGACCAAAGCAGTTCCCAGGACCAGTCTACACCACTGGATTCCTGGGCTGTTCCTGACCTCATTACATTTGCTATCATAGAGGGTAGCCTTGGACAACCGTTCTTATGCCTGAAGGCTAGCAGAGACATTGCAGCCCCCCACCATACTGAAATGCTTCTGCCTGAAACAGTGCAAGGGAGCGGTTATTCGCTAGCTGAGAGAGTGCTGTCTACAGCTCAGCTGTTGGTTGTGCAGCTAACTTACACACTGGCAGTGGCTGGATCAGAAAACCAGACCACAACTGTGCAGACCTCAGCTCTTGTGTGCACAGAATACACATCCCCCAGTCAGCGGCCAGGTCTGGGGGACTGCAGCTTTATTCAGCCTGTTTTGCTGTTGGCTTGTGGGAGACTACGGTGTGCAAATAAGGACATGGCTCAGAGAGTCCCTCTCACAGGTTAGAGTGATGAACCAGATTCCCACTGGCAAAACTCTAAGGAGACACACTCTTCGTGGGATAAAGGATGTTTGAGTGTATCTTTGAATCCTTTCCAGTTTTCCAGCCTTCTGTTCTGAAAGAGAAGGCGCAGTATCCTGCAATGTCCTTGTTCGTGTTGTCTTCGATGACTCTGTCTCCTGCTGATGTGGCAGTCTTCTGTTGGGGACACGCTCAGCCTCAGTGTCTCTCTGAGAATGTTTTCTGGGCTCTGTGGGTGACCCTCCTATCTGTCTTAATTGGCCATGGCAGACTGCAGCCTTGCAGAGGGGGAATCACAGCCTTTTCCTGGTTTGATCTGGAGCTGGGTATATTCAAATGTGACTGAATGCATTTAAATAGCTGACCTGCAGAAATTGCCTTTTCTTGTCACTCTAACTGTGGTTGTTGGTGGTGTTGTCTTTTTTCTGGTTCTCAGGTGCCCTCTGGAGCTCTTTCTCTATCTGTATAAATCACAGCATTGAACTTGTGCTACATAAGCAGCTTGTAGGACACGATCTTATTTACAGGGAGAGAGGATACACAAGCAGTAGGCTCAGTGTCTTTGTTCATGCACTCTTGTGCCTGATTTCCAGACAAAATTTGACTAGCAGGTCTGTGGACCTGTGTCTGTGGCCGTGCTCTTAATGCTGTGAAATCTCAAAATGGTGAAGTTGCAGACCATGGGTCAATCAGGCCAGCTTTCTGAAGGATAGCAACTGCTGAGTGTTGCTGCCAGATTTGCAGCTGATGGCATTGCATTGCTGAGAAAGTCAGCTCTGCCTTCTGCTTTGGGTTTTCCTCCCCACTCTAGAGCAAGGAGTAATGCCAGGCATATGAGATGGCCAGATTGAGTTGCATAGTGTGTTTATTCCAAGCTGCCCCATTTTTCTGTCACAGTTGATATATAAATACTGTGTCTGGGCTGCTTCCTACACAGTTCTGAGTGGTGTGCCAGGCATTCGTGATATGCACATCCACGGGGCAGCCCCAGAGCTTAGAGGAGCCTGATTTTACCATCACAGTCTTGGTTGAAGAATTACATTAATGTAGGATTTGTTTGGACTTTCTGGACCCTACAGAAACATGGGACTTCCCTGCCAAGAACCTACTCTGTGCCCAGGCTGAGCAGGAGCACGTCATGCCAGTCAGCCCTGCTTCTGCTAGTGCTGGAGCTGAATGAAGTAAACTTTCCAGCAGATGAACATCTGAGCAGCAGTGAAGGTACCTCAGATCTGCAAGCAGATGCCCTCGTGAGGAACTGGTGTGAATGTCATTCTCCCCTCTGATAACAGGGTCTCTGCAGTGCTCCGAGACAGGCTGCAGGGACTTTTCATTTCATTTGATTTCTGAGCTGCAGGGAATCGTTAAATTGCCATGACAGTCTCATAAACTCTAATTCTTTTTTGCTTAGGACAGACCTTCATGCATTTCCTATTTTGGTGTCTGCAAGGTGGAAGGAGCCTACTGGGGGCCCTTCGTGTCTTTAGCTGGGTCTGGCAGCCTGGGCATGTGGTCAGCATTGCTAATCCTTTTTACGTGGAACATGTATTATGAGCAATGGGCTATGTCTGCCACTGCAAGCAAGCCCTTTAGAGAAGAGCCAGTCAGATGCCTCGCGAGCTTGTCCTCCTTCCCAGCTGTAGGACACTGCAGAGGGTGAGGTGTGCAGTGAGCACATTCCTCACCAACAGCCAAGCAGGGAGGAGTTCTGGCCAGCGAGCGAAGACTGCCAAAGCCAGCGTGTGGCACAGAGGGGTAGCTGCATAGGCAGGGAGTACTTCTGTGCCTCCACACCTCTCCCCCACAGTGGGCAGCTGCCCGCTGGCCTGGGAAGCACCATGCCGTGCATGTATTGCTGCTGGCAGTGGCTCAGCCTTGTGCACATGCTGTGCCACTCCTCGCCTGGGGACAGATTTGCCTCCTGTGGCCCTGGGCAATGTGCTGCTGTGGGCAGATGTCGGAGAGGCCCTCCATGGTGGTGTGCAGGGGGGAGTGCCTGTTCTGAGACATATTCTTTTGCCTCTTTTCTGTGCCTTGCCTCGGTCCATCCCTGGCTCACCCAGACAGGCCACCGTCCCCTGTCAACGTGACTGTGACACAACTGAAGGCAAACTCTGCCACAGTCTCCTGGGACGTCCCAGAAGGAGACGTGGTCATCGGCTATGCCATCCTACAACAGGTATCCAGGCTTTGTCCCCAGGGGGCTGGGGACCCCTCTGTTTACCAGCATGCTCTTATGTCAGCCCTTTTGCTGCAGCGTGGAGCTCCTCCGGCAGCTGCCTGAGGACACCTCTGCTGTTGAGCAGCCCTTGCCAGTGCACCCTGTCTGGGCCATCCATCCTGGTGGGAGGCAGCAGATCATGGGCTGCGCTGGGGGTAGCTGTCACTCCAGTGGCTTCCATGCGATTTCTCTGGATAAGGATGGTGCTTCAGCCATGACATAAGCCTTCTTTGCTTGCTTTGCTCCACCTCCACAGCCCCAGATGATGGTGGCTTCTCTAGGGAGGTGCCTGGCTCTCATGCCACACAGGGATGATGCATAGCAAAGTGCTGGCCAGCCCGGCCCACCCCAGGGGTGGATGATTGCCTGGGAAGGGAGGAGTTAAGGGCAGTGTGCCCAGCACAGCCCTGCAGACAGGGGCCTGTGCCTGGTAGAGCTGGGAACAGCCTCCTGGGGATGACAGCTCTTCACTCTGGCAGCGGCAAGATGGACAGATGCAGCGCTTCATCCGGGAGGTGAACACCACCAACCGGGCCTGTGTGCTGTGGGACTTGGCAGAGGATGCTGATTACATCATCCAGGTGCAGAGCATCGGCCTGTACGGAGAGAGCCAGGCCAGTAAGCGTGTCCACTTCCGGACCCTGAAGGAGACCGACCGCCTCCCTTCCAACAGCTCCAACCAAGGTGAGGCAGCTCCTTCCAGCTCGCCCAGGTGCTGCTGGTGGGGCCACACCTGGGCATCTTCACAGCACATGGGCAGGGATCCAGCAGCCAGCGAGGAAGGTGCTGCCCTGAGCAGCAGGCTGCTTGGAACACACAGTGTTATAATGGGTAGCAGGATTGTACAGGCTGCTGCTGTGTCCACTATGGCCACAATAATGTCCCCCAAGCCCTGGTTTACAGCCCTCCTATCCCAGGTCTTGGCACCCTATTCAGCTAAGCAGGACGTGGCCAGGACAAGTGCTGTGGCCTGTTCAGCTGCTGCCAGTAGGAAGCAAATATTGAACAGGGTCTCAGACCTCCCAGCCTACAAACTACCAAAGGACAAATCACGGAGCCCCACAGTCTCCTTTCCTACTCATATCCATGTTGTGCCTTCTTGCCTTGGGGTTGCCTATATGCTGGTCCATGAGAGACGATCCAAGAATCTAAGGGAGATGATGCCCAGAGGGAGTCCACTGGTCATGGGAGTCTGTCTCCAGCACTAGCTGTAAGAGGGGGACTTGAGAACGAGTATAACAGGGCAAGCAGATGCCTTACTTTCCTTAGAACTTCTGTGTTCAACTCAGGGCTTGATGCCTATGTAGAAGGTAACCTCAGTGATTACTCCCATGCATTGTGCAGTTCCTGCTTGAACCCAAACAAGCTGTTAGAATCCTTGACTGCCTTTGGTAGCGAGGATGGTTTATCTGACACAGGAAAGCCGCAGGCTGCATGTCCTCTCCCCAGCCAGGATGTCATCCCACACCCATCCTTGTTTGGGGGAGGTGGGCCTCTCTCCTCTGGAGCTCCTTCTCAGATCCTCAAGTGTTGCTGGTCTGGGTATATGCTGCCAGCCCTGCCTGGGTTCTCTTCTCTGCAGGTGACATCACCATGGAAGGGCTGGACAAAGAGAGGCAACTGCAGACAGGAGAGATCATCATCATAGTGGCTGTGCTGCTCATGTGGGCAGGTGAGTGCCACAATCAATGTTCTGGCAAGCTGGGGCAGAGGTGCAGTCCAGCGTTCACAAAGAGGAGGGGGCTCCAGACATTGCAGAGGCAGATTGGTATGGGTCTGGCATCCCTTCCAGTAAGTCGGTTGAGTCTCTGCAGGGGCTCGAGCCAGTGGGATAAAAGGAGCAACCACAGCCACTGCTCAGCAGTGATGGCCTCGAGCATGTGGGCTGGCTGGCCTGACTGCTGTGCTGTAAGAGCAGGAAACAATGTGGGACCCAAGCAGTACAAAATTACATGGTGGGAGCATCCCAGCTGACGTTAATGATTGTGTAACTTGGGCCTTAGTTAGCTTGTCTGACATCTGATAACATTGCTGCACTGGCTGGTAGTGGTTGTGCCTCAATCTGCTAAAACTGTAAGATATGTGATTTGCTCCTGTACAGCACCTGATTAAAAACAGTGCTCTAGCAAACAGCAGGTTGCCCTGGGAGCAAGGAAGCTCCTGACTGGTCACATGCAGCTACTGTGAAGGGAAGTCATTTGTCCGCTACTGTCTTCCCAGTAAATGTGGATTTTCTAGTGGCATCTTGCAGGAATCTCTCCTTGTCCTGGCCTTTAACACTTTTCTAGTGCACTGGAAGAAAATACAAGCTTGTTGCTGCTAGCTTACACCTTGTGCAGGTTGGTGTGTTAGAGTGCCAACAGGGAGAAATCAGGTCTAGTCTGTGGGTGGTTGTGGTAACGCACTGTGGTTTGAGCTGGGTCTAACACGTCTCATGATTACAGTTCAAATCTTTGCTCCAGAGTCCTGTACCCGGGGTCCCAAGGTGTGGGACATACGCTGTGCGAGATGGGTGCTGTGAAACCATGACAGAGCGACTGACCCCAGAGTCAGTTTGCAAGACAGGACAAAGCCAAGGGCTGGCTTTTGTGAGGGTCGCAAGCTCTGGACCAATAATTTTAATGACTTGCTGGAGGCACTCAGAAACCCACTGAGCTGCTCGCTGACTGCAAGGGCTGTTCCTCTCCAAGTGCCTCAACATCTGCTTTTGGCCTCAGAGCCCTGAACCATAGGCACTTCACATGTGCCCTGATGGCTTTAGCTGCACGCATGCCGCGTCTGCCCAAGGAGGCTGCCCTGGCCACACATGCAGAAGTGCCTGGGGTGGTCCAGGCTGACACAGGTGGAGGGTGTGGGTGACCAGCACCCCAGGGTGCCCTGAGCCTGACTGCTTTCCAGCTGGGATGGTGTAGGGAGGGGGGGCAGGGTGAAGGCACTGTGAGAGAGTCCTTCATCCCGTGTCTTTCGGCAGCGGTGATCGCCCTCTTCTGCAGACAGTATGACATCATCAAGGACAACGACTCCAACAACAACAAGGAAAAGACAAAGCCGTCCTCAGAGCACAGCACACCAGAGCGACCGAGTGGAGGGCTGCTGCGGAGCAAGGTGAGTGGGGAGGGCTGGCAGGGGGGATGGCATATGGTGTCTGCTGTGGCTTGCTGCCTGGACGTGTTCTGGCTCTCTCCAGAAAAAAAAAAAAAAAAACAGACCACCCGCTCGTTCTCTCACCCTAAAAACTGAGGGGTTTTAGGGTGCAGTGAACCCTGGTATCTCCCGGGCAGTGTGTGTACCCCATGGGTGATTGCAGGAGAAACACTGGAAGAGATGGAAGGATATATCAGCTGGGATGGCTCCCACATTGCAGGATGGTACCTGTCCTCTCACTGTAGCAGCCCCTTCACCATGCCCCTCCAAGGCTGCACCTCTTCTGCAGCCCATGGAGAGGTCCAGCTCCTGCCTGTTCAGGCAGGAGGCAGACAAGCTGGGCAGCTGCTCTTAGGTTCCTGCACTGGTCTACTGCTCACTTTCTGCCTCCACTTGGGCCTGCTCCAGGCCATCACCACACAAGTCATTCATCGGAAGAACCCCAGAGCCCCTTCCTGACTCTCATGGAGGTATTCTGCTGGGCTGTGGATAGGGAGGGAGCAGAACTTTCATCTGGTGTTCCCTCAGCACCTGACACATCTCCCTTTGTCAAGTAACAAAGACAGTGATTTATAACCCCGATACACATGCTCTATTGGGACCGTGCATTAGGTTTTCCCTTCTGTCTCATCTGCCTCCTCTGGCAACGGTGAGAACTCTTACTGTTTTGCCAAACTGTCCCTCTGCTTCCACATCTTGATTTCCAGCAGTTGTCAGGAGTGGAAATTTCCTGTTTGGACTCTAAGGCCCCAGTTCTCCTCCAGATTTTCCAGCTTCCTGATTACTCCTTGATAAAAAGATCCCTCCTCTTGGATCCCTACTACAAACTAACCCTGCTCATATAGGGCTGCAAAGGCCTGTTCCTGCTGCTTGCAAAGTTCACCTGTACAGGGCTAACGCACCTCAGTTTTCCATTAGTTCTGCATTCACCATACTCGTGTCACCTGCAAGGATGTTAACACTGCAAGTTTATTCTTGCAGTCCTTAATTACAAAGCTGGGAACAAGGTATAAGAAATAAAAAACTCTGCATTCGCTTCCCCTCCTGGCTTCAGGGCCAAGCTGCTGTAAAGCAGCAGCCAAGGGTGCAGCTCTTGACCTCAGCCCTGTTATGAAGTGTAGTCCTGGGGAGACTCACCTCCTGTGCCCTGCTTCAGCATGCAAGGCCCAAGCTACAAAACACATGAGCAGCAGCCATGACCCCTTCCCAGCACCTTCTCTGAATTTGTGCATCTGCTGTGCTCTTTAATAAGCACTTTCTTTTTAGCATAAACAAAAGTGTTTGCTTGTGCAACGGTTTTTGAGAAAATCCACCTTGCCACCTGCAGCCTTTAGTTCCCTTAGCACATGCCAGAGCTGTCATGAGGGGCATGGCAGTGAGATATGCCTGGCACTCAGCAGGCCTTATCTGCCCCTCCATGCTTTGTGGATTCTCTGCGCCATGGAAGATACCTGCCTACTCCCTGACTTACCTTTTCTGCTCTGTTCCTGCACCTACCTCCTGTCCAAGGGCATCAGGTGTAGCATGGCTACCACTCGAAACGAGATAGAAGTCACTAGACATCTGTAAGCCCTAGAAGCTGAAGAGTGTAGGAGAGGGGAGCTGGTTCCAGGAGTACTGGGGCACAGCAGTGGGCAGAAAGTCTTCCTGGGGAGGCAAGTGTGTGGTTGAAGGTACTCACCTGGACAGAGGTACCAAGCGATGCAGCTGAGCTACCTGAATCTTTCTGCCAGAAGAGCACATTAGTGCAAAAGATGGGGGTTTTAGGGTTCACTCCCTTGGTCTCCTGAGCAAGATGCTGAAGCCAGGTCTCTGCTGCAGCTCACCCACGGGGCAGAGAGAGGGCTCAGCTGCAGCTCGCAGCCCTTTTGCAGAGGTCTGCTGCTCTGAGTGCCTACTGTGGGAGGTTGGGGCCTCTGCCATGAGATTTGCATCCCAGGGGCTTTAGCAAAGCAGGGCCTTAAAGCGGATTTTTCTCTCCTAGAAGAAGTCTCCCTCGGTCAATATAATCGAGGTGTAAGTGCAGCACCAGCTCTACGTTTGGGGTCCTGGGCATCCTGCCAGAGCCAAAGCAGGCCTTGAAAGAGGAGGCAGCACCAGGTGCCCAGGCTGGAACTCTGCATGCGAAGATCCGCGTATCAGAACTTACGCTTTCCCGAGGGCACCTGTCCAGGGATGTGCATGGAGCCGGCTCCCGGCCGTGCATGCAGTGCACAGCCCTGCCCACCCCACATGCCTGGCCCCGCTCCCCTGCCACTGCGGAGCACAGAGCTGAGAAAGGGTGGGGGGCCACTCGACCAGCCCAGGGGAGCAGAGGGGCTGGTGCGCTGGCTTGAGGGGAGGCAACTTCCCTGCACCCTGGCTCAGCCACAGGCCTGGGTGCAACCGTGCAGCACTGGGCGCCTGCCCAGCAGGCAGAGTGGAGCAGACCTTAGTCTCAGCTGCTGTGTCTGGGCTCGGAGGGCTGCCTGTGGAGGGTGAGAGCTGCTCCCCTTTTGGCCCCGAGACTGAGGGGATGGGGCAGTGCAGGCATTTGCCCCAGTGCCGCTGTGGCCGGGTGGCAGGCGGGTTTGTCTGTGGGGCTGGGGCCCAGTGAGCACCGCTGAAGAGTGGATCCCTGCTGGAGAACAGGGCTCCACTGCACCCCATCGTTGCCATGCAGGGGCTTCAAGGCCTCTCCCTGCTGCAGGGGACAGAGACACGTGCAAACAAAAGGAGCTGGTGTTGCTGCAGCACCTTGCTGGGCTGCAGAGTGTGCAGCCAGGGTGGGGAGTGCTGACAGGAGCCATTCTGTGGGGTGATGAGCCCCACAGAGCTGTGGGAGCAGGCAGTGCCAGGGCACAGCCGTGGCTTTGCCATTTTCCTGGTAGGGCTCAGTCCTGACGCATTTAGGCTGTTTGTGGGGGAACTGTCGAGCACTCTGTGAGCAGTGCAATGCCTGTGCTGCCAAGAGACACTGCGGTGGGGCCCAGCAAGGTCTCAGTGGGTTTGGCAGGATGTGTGCTGCAGAGCTCATCACCACGCTGGGGGCAACCCTAGCCTCAACACCACCACATCCCACTCGTAGCTCCTTATGTCTTGGGGTATGACCACTGCTGATGCTCCTGCTCCTGAGGCTGGCCTGCACCAGGTTGGCTGATGTGATACAGACCTGTTGGAAAGGGCTGGTCCTGAATGCCCAGAGCTGGCTGACCACTGGCTCGCTGCTACATGCCCAGTCTGCCTGCTTGTGTGAAGACAACATGAGCCATGAACCATCCTGGGGCTGGTGAAGTGGTGATGTCTGGCCTGTGCTTGTTCGCTCCCCAGAGCCTGGGGGCAGAAGTCTCTTGCTGGGTCTCTGCATTGCTCTGTGTCCGAGGTTGAGGCCGGGCCCAGGCATGCCCTCTTGCCAGTGGTGGGATGGAACAGGGTGATATGAGGAGGTGCTCTGCTGCAGAGATGGCAGCTGCTGCCCTGGCTGCTGCTCTCCCTTTGTGCTCTGCTCTGTGGCCTGTCACTGAGCTAGGATGCTGGCTCTGCAGCCCTGGACTCTAGCATCACAGGATCCAGCGTCTTCCAAGAATAACCACCCAGTAAAGCACTTTCAGGACTCTTCCTTCTAGGTGCTGCTCAGCTTCTGCTGCAGGATTAGGTGGGGAAGGGACAGGAAAAGCAACTCCCTGTGGCAAGGTCTTTTCAATAAAAGCATCCTGGCTCAAAGACAGCGTTGTCCCCGTGGAGTTGCAGGTCTGTGTGTGTTTCCAGATGTGTACCAGGACTTCTCGAACATGTGTGTATGGCCCTTAGAAGGAGACCTGTTCTTGCATGCTGTGCAAGACCTGCAGGTCCTCTAAGGTCATCTTGCAGTCCTCCGGCCCTCAAGGGAGTGCCAGTGCTGCATGCATGCTGGGCCATGTCATGCTGCTGGACAGGCTGCAGTTACAGACTGTCCCACTGCGAATGGCCTCACAGCTGCTTTCTCTGCACAAACAAAATGGGCTGCAGAGAGCAGAGACACCCTGGCAGCAGTGCCAGGAAGAAGGATGAGGCCAGATCCCAGCAGACTGCTGACCGAAGGGGGCTGAGCTGCTTCCTGGTCAGGTGAGAGGGGTATCTGAGGAGCAAAAGCACCGTAGTGGTGGGTGCAGGTGTTGCTGTGCTGTAATGTGGGCCTGCAGGGAGCGTGTCATAGCTCCAGAGAGATAAACTGCCTTATTTTGCCAGCTAACTTTTGTTTTTTTAGGGAGATACATGTCAAAAATTAGGGCTGTCAGGGCAATACAAGAGTTTTTAAAAAGTTCTGGTGCCCTGGAAAATGTTTCAAGGTGCTATCCTGGAGGGTCAAAGCAGACACATACCTATTATCATGAGTTCTTTAACCAGACCAGAGGCACACACAAAAAAACAAGGAGGCATGACGATGAGCTGGAAGAGACACCAAAAAAAAAAAAAAAAAAAAAAAAAAAAGTATGGCAAAATGCAGTGGTTGTGGCCAAATAAAAAAAGGAGTACAAAAGCATGCCACATTAAACGTAAAATCAGGGGGTGGTGGTGAGGCAAAAAAGACACTCCCCACCTCCACCAAAAAAAAACTACCCAAGCCACTCCTCCGTTCGCAAACCATGGCAGTGCAGGAAGGCAGGGAACTACAGAGATGAGCACTGCACAAGTAAAGCAGCAGCAACGTTGGACAAAGGTATTTTCTGGTGCACATACAAGCGCATATCCCACAAATGAGTCTTACCAGCACAGGACAGTACAAACGCCTGACACAGTGCCAGGGCAGAGCAGGACGTGCACATGCATAAACACACGCCGCGCCCCCCCAACCCTGCAGCACCAGCACCACAGTGGCACAAGGAAGAGGCTGTGTGGCTCATGCAGAGAAACTCTGGCACACCAATTTAAGAGATGTTGGACAGTGTTAGCACATGTGTGGGTGATGGTGAACCCACTGCTAGCTTATACGGTCACCAAAGCAGAAGAGACTTGGCAAAGGCTCTTGCATACACAAGGCTGAGACGGGGAGTCAGGGAAGCAGTTCCCTCACTGCAGCAACATCTGGTTAAAGTCAGGAATGATGGCAGAACTGGTCCCCTTGAAGTCCTTTAAGAAGCCATACACAGCTGCAGCATTCAGCATACTCACAGCAAAGAGCACACTGCAGCAACCATGAGTCCCAGGGAGAGAGACTGTTAAACTGTTTGGAGCACGTCGGTCTGGAGGTGTGACGGCTACCAGGCAGCAGCATAGAGCCTGCTGCCCTCCCAAGCCGCTGGAGATGGTGAACAGTTATTCACAGGACAAGAGCAAAAGGCGAGTGAAGCAATCAGCATGTGTTGGCATCAGCAGTAGCGCTGTCCATCCCTCAGCACTACCTGCAGTGCTCGGCTGCAGGACAGCATGGATGCCAAGCATCCTGGTTCAGCACACAGCAGGAAGCCACATCAAGGGCTCTTAAACCCACACCAGCAGGTCAGGCATCCCTCAGTGCTGGAAGCTGAGGACCTGACAATGGCCTGCCCACCTTGACAAACAACCCTAGTAACATCAACAGGTTGCTCTGCGCCCTGAGCTGTGTGAGAAAAGGCAGACCATGACTCAACACGCAAAACCACGTGAGAAAAACAGTCCATAGCTCTTGACTGATCTGCAGGGACCCAAGCCTCCCCAGAGTGCAAGCCTTCCCCACAGCTCCTGCCTGTAGCACTTGCTGGGAGACCAGCTCTGCTGCCCCAGGCTGCACACAGTGAGTGCTGCTCAGCTGGGGGGGTCTGTAACACCAGCCTTAGAGGGGAGATGTGCTGCGTTGGGACAGGAACCCACCAGCAAGGTCCTCAGCCAGAAAACACCTGCAAACTGTTACTTGCCAGAGAAGCTAGACAACCTGCTGGCTGCAGCCTCCCCTGCTCTATCTGGGCAAGGAAACCAAGGGCATAGCTTTCCCTAGTCCGTGTGCAACACGGCAAAGGTGCTGCAATGCAGAACAGGCACACAGAAGTCAAGGCCTGCTGGCACAGAGGGCTTGCGTCCTCCCTGGCCTCAGCACAGCCAGGTGCCAGCTCCCGTTGGTGCAGATGACCTTCACAGATCATCAAGACAAACCAGTCCAGCACAGCCTGGACCAGCTACCCTCCACATAACATGGGCCATCCTGGGCCCCAGCAGCCCTCAGCACAGGGGGCACAGCTCCCTCAGGGCCAGCAGCTGAGGAAGATGTGGGAGCTCCAGGGCAGCTGCAGGCTCCATGAGCTCAGGGCATAGCCCAGGCCCTTGTCACAGACAAGGAAGCCTCATTGCAGGCAACACAGCAGACACAGAGTACCTTACACACTTGTGCATGGCACCCCATCCAGCACTCGAACCCAAATGATAACAGTAAAACCCCCTCAGTTTATTTCCCTGTAAAGACAGAGCTTTCCTTTAAAATCAGCTCATTTCACTCATGAGAGGGTGTGGGGCTGAACTGCAGGGGCAAGGCTTCATCACTCACTCAGTCCTCCAGGCCAAGAGCTGTTGCTCCCCGATGGTCACACATGCCGAGCAAGTCCTCCACCATCTCCAGGGGACTGCTCAGCCTCAGCTGTTCCCCAATTGCCACCACGAGGAGCAAGGCGGGAGAAGTAAGTGAGGCAGGTCAGACACAGTGCAATCCAAGCTGCACTGGCTGCGTCCTGCAGGCTCAGAGCACACGGGGTAGCTCTGCATGACCTGGGAGTGGGCAGAGCGAGGAGCACTGGTCCACCAGTCTGAGCTGGGAGCAGGGAGCAGCTGCAGTTTGAGGCGGTTCATGCAGGCAGAGCAGGACGAGGAGCGGGTGTTGCAGTCTGTGCACTGCCTGGCAGCGGTGCCAGCAGCCCCTGTGCCTGGTGGGCAGTGCTGGGGGCAGGGGCAGGCGCTGTCTGGCCCTGGTGCAGGCACAGGGTGAATCCTGAGTGGCTGGTCCATTGTTGCAAAGATTTGGCTTAGCCCAGGGGAGTCTTGGGGCCAGTAGTGGAGAGGTCTCCAACCCCTCCCAGCCCCTTCCAGCTGTCTGGGGGTTGCCCCAAGCGGTAGCACAGTAGTTGTGCAGTAGGTGAGCTCACTCTGGGCACAAGAGGTGCTGACTCTGAAAAGCAAAACGGAGGAAGACAGACCTGGTCCGTGAGGCATGTGGTTGGGAACCCAGCACAGCCTGGGAGGGGAAGTAGACCTTCCCAGGTGAGCCATCAGCCCCCCTTCCCTGCAGAAGACATGCTGTGGGATGTGGCAAAGCAGCACTGCAGGAAGGAACTTACCTGCTGGCCTGTGGGCTCCCCTCCCCAGCTCCTCCATGCTGCTTTGGAAGAGAATAGAATACTCATCATACCCCAAACAAGGCCTGCTGAGAGACACAGCATGCTTGTGACCCTGACAAAGCAGGCAAGGCACAGCAGTAACAGGCACTCAAAAGTGCAGAAGGCCCTAGCTCATTTGCTACCAAACCCTTTCCCCAGACCAGCCTGTCCTGAGATTGCAAAGCCACATCTTCCCGTCAGCAGCACCCTTGTACACAGGGCTGCCACTTCACAAGGCCACATACATAGCTCCAGCCTGTGCACGCACTGGTTCCTGGCTGACACCAGCTCAGACCAGACTCGGCCCCGCGGCACTGGCAGACCCCAGGCGGGTACCAGCTACCAGGCACATGGAGAACAGCCACAGTGGAACAGGCCTCTTGCACCCACCACCACAGGCACTTCTGCGAAGTTGCATGGGCTAATCCTCCACTGCAGGACTGGTGCCATCAGCTCCTCCCAAGCACAGGACAGACACCAGCAAGCTCAGCCCCAGGCACTTGTCTATGCAAAAGTCAGCATGATCAGGCCTCCAGCCTGACCCAAGCCCCAGGGAAATCAGTGGCAGGAGAGGGTCAACACCCGAGAAGCATGCCTGGATAGGCTGGCCTCAGCAAAGAGTGGCAGAAACAGAACAAGTAACATCCTGAGGGTCAGCATCTGTCCCCCACAGCTCCACTGCAAAAGCTGAACTGCAAGATCTGCCCCTCCACAGCTCAGCTCCCTGTTCACTTGGCCTCTCAGCTGACAGAGGCAGAGGAAGCAGCAGGAAGCTCCACCTTGCTCCCATGCAGATCTCCTCCATGCTCCCACCATGCCTGTGGCCCCAGCAGCTTCCCTTGCAGGGGGCACAGAGAAAGAAACAAGACAAGGTTCATCAGAGAGATCCCTGAACACAAGCAGCAGCTCACCACCTACCCAGATAAGGTCTCACAGACGTTATCATCTTCCTCCTCTTCCTCCTCCTGGCACACAAACAAACAAAACAAAACAAAAACACCCCACCAATGGCACCTCACTGCCTGGGCAGGTCTCTGCCAGGAGCGAGGCTGGGCTTCCCAGAGCCTGTTCTGGAGCAGCAGGGCAGTCCCTGGCCCCTTCACAAGACGGTCACCCACCAGGCATGGCACAGACAGAGGGGTGCCTACAGGCAGTAGGGGGGAAAGATGGCAATGGCAGTGCTGGGCTGCTGAAAGCCTCAGGGCTCAGACACACAGCCACACAAGGGAAGAGACAGACCACAGCTCTTCTCACAGCCCCTCCAGCCAGCAGAGCACCACACACAGGCTGTGAGCAGGGAACAAGCTGAGACAGCTGCTGCATATAGCACTCCCTTGCACAGAGGCGGGAGTGGGGTAAGCACATCTTGCAGCTGGTGGGGCAGGCAGAGGACTGACAGGGAGCAG